GCATGATGTTTTCTCAATTAGTATTCTTCACTAACACAGTTTTAGAGTCTGAGGTTGCCTTGGTACATATGGCCAATTGTAGGGTGTGAAGGGCGAAGTGAAGGCGGACACGAAACCTCCGAGCAGTCAAGATGCAGAGAAGCAGAGAGAGCAGCTTCAGCTGGATCTAGAGAAGCAATACACTGCTGGACTCCGACGAAGAGATGGTCGCACTGTAGGGTTAGGTCTCTAAAATCTTACTTGGGTGTCTCTCTTACAGCTGAGACATTATTCAGCCAATTAATATTTATCGTTTGTATGAGAGTTTTGTCGAGCGTTGTATTGTGCCGTTTGAAGGTTATGAGAATTCTAGGTTTCTATACAACTATGTCGTATTGCTTTCCTCTGTTTATTAATTGCAGTTCAGTGAATTGTTGTTCTTTTCAGATTTGTGCTTCATTAGGCTGACTGTTTAGATCACAAAGTTGCCGATAATGTTTCTGCTGTAGAGTTTGGACTTGTATAAATCGAAGCAAACTAATTTTGATAGGTCTCTAGGGAAAAAAAAAACACCCTCGTGACTAGAAACGGTTCAGGACTAGGTTATCCTGTGTCAATCTTGGCTGGTTAGAGGTGACTTAGAGCTGTTCTGGACTTCTCTGATACTCTGATTACTCGCTGCAAATAATAGTTATACACTGATTTGACCATGTATGCAGCTTATTAAGTGGATACCTATAGAACTCATCGAGACGTGCAATATAGATGGCTTGGGCTTGTTGTCACCCCTACATCTGATCTTAATACGGAGTACTTAATAATAAGATAATAAGATGTGCAAGTACTCGCATACTTAGATGATTTATAATACTGTATAAAAATTGTTGGATGTAGATGTAGTAGCTCCACTAGTCCAGTGGTTCTGATAGAGGCATTATAATTTATAAGGTTTTGAATCTAAAAGAATATTCTTGTTACATTATAGATGGGAACTTAATAAAATGGCAATACACTAATATGTTCAATTTTAAAAATAACCCTTTATTTTTATTTATTTTTGTGCTTTTATTACTAGGCACCACTTTGTTTACAACAATTTGTCATATAAAACACTTTTGTGATCAGTTGCAACTTGAGTTTGATTCTAAATGATGTATGTATAAAGCTAGAATCTTGAGGGGTTAGGTAGGAATGAAGTTATAATGAATCTTGTTGTCCACACTCCAAGATTGACGAAATTTCAAGTGTTTTTTTTTTTTTTTTAATTTCGAGATTACCCCTTATTAAGTTATCACAACCCGAACGACCTTTAATTATGATCCAATCTCGGAGATAGAATTATCTAGTTAATCATTTCTCTAACAGCTCTATCCCTAAAACGGGTAACAATTTGATTTTAGCATCGTTTTTAAAATTTTTATCAATAGTGTTCATAATAAATCTTCACTATTTGTCTATCTTCATTTTTATATCTCCCACCTTATAATTTTATAGTGTATAATTAAGTGAGCTATATATACTACTACGGAATATTATTTTAAAATGAGTTATAGAAATCTTGCGTGTTAATTTATGAAAGAGCAAGTATCAAATTTAATTTCACAATTTCAAATGTTTTAAGTCAATGATTGAAAGTAGTGATGTTTAAGATTGAAAATGTATTAAATGATAAAACCCAATCTTAGATCCCATTAACCCCAACATTGACACACACAAAGTAGTTTTAGTTTTGTTTAATAAACAAAGGACAACACAAAATTACAATTATTGTAAGAGCATTATAAATCTATAATGCCTAATACTTTTGTGCCTAAAAAACTAAATTAGTGGTAATTAGGGGACAGAATATTCTCTAATCAGCTTATATTTCTCTAATTAAGCATGCAATTTGTAAAGAGACTGATCGAATCAATGGAAACATAAAGCTATTTTGTTGTGCTCCCCAAAAGCTCAAACATGAAAATTTTATTCCCTAAATCAATAAAGAAGCTAGATTCATACATAAATAAACAAAAAATATTTTACTTTAATTGTTGTGGGAATTTTTAATTACAAATGAATATATTGAATGCTCTATATCATAAAGATGCACTAACCAATAAAGTAGTACTAGTAGTTAAGAGCTTAAGATAATTTAATATGGTGGACTAGGGAGCCTACATAACGGGTTTCCAATCTTCAGTCTCGAGTACCACTCTTAAGACTTTAATATAGTTTGTATAGACAAATCGGCATTTGTCATGATTTAAGTCAGAAGAATTTTTTAGGTTTTAGTTTAATTATTGGTGACATCTGACTTGCAATTTTTTTTTCCCTTCAGTTTAATTGGGTGGAATGCTTTGGGTGCTAATGTTATGGCCAACTCTATGTGTTATTTTTCCAGAGTGGATTTCCATGGAATCATGTTGATATCATCACAGCATATTATGTCTAAAGTACTATAATTTGGAGCACCTGAATCCATATATTCCCTTCACTTTATATTATATCTCTTTCTTTTTTGCCAGATATTTTTTGGTGCTAGTAGTAATTATTGTTTTACTTTCTTTGAATTATTTGAATTTGAATAACACATTTTTTATGTGTTTTCATTAATCAAAGCATTTATCCTATATATAAGGCCGGTTACATGAATTAAGATTTTATCTCCTATACGGCTATACTCACTTACCATGATCTTCAGCTTTCATTCCCTTCTAACCAATGTTATATGTTCCTACAAACCTAACTTCTTCATGCCTTTCTTAACTCTTTTCAGCCAAGTCATATTTGATCTTCCTCAGCTTCTTCAAAGATTTATTTCTTTGATCTCAACTCTTCACTTACCTTACGGCTTTTTCCAAAATTTGATTGACATATCCAAACCAATGCAATCAATCATATCTTATTTTGTCCTTAATGTTGCTACTCTTAACTCTCTTTCTAATATCTTCGTTTCCTATTCTATCTTTTAGTTGGGAGTTATACACGGTAAGTATTTATGGTCCAACTTTAATCAAAAGAAGCGGAGAAAGTATTTTGTAGTTCTTATATAATCTGACTATGTACGTAGTTGATTGTAACTGTAGATGACGAAGCATAGGTGATCAAGCACATATATCAACCATGCAATTATGCAAATGAAAAGATAAATGATGTTTTTTTTTTAGTTAGGAATTAATTCATATCATTTGATAATGAAAGCAGTGTTTTCTAGATGAAAAGGGCATTTTCTCAGCATCAAATTAAGGCCAAACGTTTATAATATGCGCACCAAATTTATGATCCAAGAAACCAGACGTCCTAGTCGTACGTCCAACTACATGCCATTGGCCCTTAAGGTATTGAGTAATAGTCTTTCTAAGCAAGTTGTAAGAAATTAATTTCACTATATTATTATTATTATTATAGCTTAACCTTTTGATCTAAACTTGAATTCAAATACCAACTATATATAATTTGAGTTAGTGTTTATTCTTTTCTAGATTAATAAATATTTCTTTATGGTGGTCAAATTTCCAAACTTTGAATATAATTAAATAAAGATTAAGGAATATGTCTTAGGGCCTGTTTTCTTACATTGAAATTCAGTTCAGCTCAATTCAGCTCAGCTCGGTTCAGTTCAATTCAGCTCTTAATTTCCTTCTCTTATAAAATATTCATTTCAGTTCAGCTCTTAATTTCCTTCTCTTATAAAATATTCATTTCAGTTCAGTTCAATTCAGCTCAGTTCAGTCAATGAGAACAGACCCTTATATGTATTTGCAAAATATATACGTATATTTTATCAAAGAGTAACAAAATAAGTCAAACAGCTACGTAGAAAATTGTAACATGTAATTTGTTTTAGTAATAAAAGAATGACAAAGATATAAATAATATTTTTCTTTCAAAAAAAAAAGATATAAATAATATTTTAATTAACGTCTATCAGTAAAAATTACATTAAATGCTAGCTACTCGCATTAGCACAATTAATTATGAATTTATGATGATCGGAGGTTTATAGTGGAGCCTATGTCATAATTAAACAAATACTAAGCTTATATGTAGAGCTAAATTAGAGACCACTAATTTATACAACCTCTTTATTTTCTCCATCATAACAAATGCTAAAATTATGATAAATGGCCACTTAAATTAAAGTTTCTTTAGCAACTAAATCGACAAAGCATTGCTTTAGCACATGGATATGGGTTATGGCTTTCATCCCTCTTTACACAATGAAAATTAAGAAAATGTGGTGGATTCAAAGGATTTGGACTTTTTAAGTCAATTCTCTCTTTGCACATAATTTGATTTATATGTGTTTCCAATAATAGGACTTGTCAGTTGTCACAATTCAAGGACAACAACTAATCCTTGCACTATCTTTTTCTTCTCTAACTTAACTTAGCTTTTTATAACCTATTGCTTACTTTGAATGATTTCCATTTTAGTTATTCATCATTTTGTCTTTGGTTCTATAAAGACGTAAAGTCATTGTTTATCTATTCGAATCTTTTATACTTTATATATCTTTAAATTGTTAAAAACGGTCGTAAAAGCCCGTGAACGAGAACTTTAATGTGTACAACTCCCTTATAACATAAGGAGGGATACATGCATCTCCCGTCTAATGAATCAAGTACACATTTACTTTCTTCATTTTGTTTTAACCACAACATAATTTTGTTTAGAAAGTTACAACATTATTGTAACATTACTTTATTTGACGAATGATTCTACAGTATTTATCTCACGAATGAGTTGTGAATTTTAGCTGACTAAAGTTTCTACATGATGTAATTAAAAAACGACTTTCAATTTAAACTAATGAGTACTACATTATTTGTCCTTCGGTGACTCTTCAGATTGCGGGATACTTTGAGTCCCCACATCGGAACAAAAGGACAGAATGTTAACACAACAAGGTCCCAAGTACACGTCTACACACAGTCACACAGAGTTTTTTTCAGCAAATTTCCACTCTACGACTTTGCGGTGGCTGTTAATTTTGGTGTTTGGTGAGACTCACACTCCAAGTTTCAGGTGACTTTCCTTTTTCACATTTTCTCTTTATAAAAAATTACACCATATAGTACGGAGTATAAACTGACAAAACACAAAATAACCCAATTTCTAGCTCAATTTATCCATCTTCTTCCTTCTTTTTCTGGGTTATTTTTCTGGGTTTCATTCATTTTTGTGATTCTTCTTATACTAGTGTCAAATTTTCCTTATTTATAGCCCTTTTTTTCTCCAAGATTTATGCTTTATTTAATCTAACAGCAGAATTTTACAGATTTGAGCATCTGGGGTTTGCAATTAATTTACCATTATCTTGTTTGATTCATCAAATCTTTGTTTTTGGTCTGTTTCACAAGCTTGAAACAAAATCATCCACATTACTTTTGATTATTTTAGTCATACTTATTGCCCACTATGCTGTGATTGGTGTCCCTATATAATTTCTGTTATTAAAGTTGGTGTCAAATTCACTGTATCCAGATACCCTTTAGCATTTATGCAGCAGCTCACTAATTATTTGTTACATGTCCTGTGTTAATATTCTTTAACTATTACTCTTTTCGTCCTATTATATAGTTGGTGATTCATTTTTCATGTGAGTTAAGAAAAGTCTAATGTCAGTAGATTCTTTAATTTGTAGTTAAATCCGTGTCGGTCAAGGTATCTATAGATTGCCTCTCATTAAAACGACTTTGTTAAGGTTATTCACTAGATAAATTCCTATTATCTAGCTGACCCCTCATCAAATTATTAAGATTGCTTAGATTTTGCTCCCACTTAGAAAGTTGGGAGTATTATATACAAGTATAGTACACTGTGCAATCACTTGGTACAATAAATTCTCAGATCTTGCACAATATTCTTTTATTATTGATTAGTATACTATTATATGATATACTTTTTAATTCAAGTCCAATGCTATTCTTCTTGATATCTTGTTTCTCATTCATCTTTGTTGTCAAGTCTTTGTTAACAATTAAACTAACAAAGATGAGACTACTATCTCCCTTTTTCTGGGTAGAATTATCCAAGTCCCTTATGTGTTATATTAGAAAGAGGGGGCTTGTTTTTGGTGTTTTTGAGGCTACTTATTTGAGTCCAGTGAGAAAAGTTCATACAGTTGAGTTTGTTGAAGTGAAGGATGAGGGAATATCAGTTTTGGATTTGCCAGACTTGACCTTGGATATGATTCTAGACCGGCTTTCGCCGGCTGATTTGTGTAGCTTGTCTGGGGTGTGTAGAGAGTTGAGAGGAAAATGTAGGAGTGATCATATGTGGGAGAAACATATGAAGAGCAAATGGGGAAGAGTGATTGGTAATGCTGCTCTTGTGAAATGGCATGAACATATGGCCCTTAATAAGAGGAGATTTTCCTTAGGTGGTAGCAGCAATGGAGGGATTATTTTGAATATTTTTAGTTTGTGGCCATTTTCATCATTGATTAGGCCAAAATTGATAGGTAGAAGTGAGCTTAAGGGTTCTTTACCACCTGATTCAATCATGGGTTGGTATCTTTCTCTTGAAAGCGGCGAGTTCTGGTTCCCAGCTCAGGTCTATAATCGTGAGGTATACACACAAATTTTGTATAGAATTGCATATAGCATATTGTAGAGGCATGTTTAGCTGTTTTTTGTTCATTTGTTTATATAATCAACTAAATCAAGCATAGATTGTAGACCTAAACAACTTCTGTTATTGCAGAATGGACATGATGGATTTGTGCTGTCATGTTATGATGCTGAACTTAGCTACAACTCCAAATCAGACACTTTCCAAGCTAGGTAAGATATATATATGGTAGAGAGTTATCAAATTCTTACATAACTTGACCTTGAATTTTATATTTTGCGTAAAAAATTGTTGGGTCTGATAAGTTTAATTGGGAGAGTTTGTTAATGGAATTGCTTTTCTTATGTTGTTAAGGTATACCCTGCATGGCCGAAAGACCGTAGAGGAAAACATATCCTGGAGTAGAATCAGAGCTCCACCTGTTGATAATCCTGCATATGAGCTTCATGTGTCTGATTGTTTAGATGATTTGAAGCCAGGAGATCATTTAGAAATTCAGTGGAGAAGAAACAGAGAATATCCATATGGTGTGTTCACCGCGGATTTTGTATCCTGAATGTGTAGTCGAAAGCATTAACATCTTGAAGAATTTACTATTTGCAGACTTTTTCTTTGTTCTTTGATTCTAATCATTTACTGTTAATGTGTTACAGGCTGGTGGTATGGAGTTGTTGGTCACCTGGATTCATGCACCAGGAATGAATATCATTGCATATGTCATGATAGTGGTAAGGAACTCATACAGTCATACCGTACCTTGTTATCTGGTTTTATGATGAATCTTTCTTTTTAATATTGTGATTTGTGATTCTATCATTGGTAGTTGAAGTTTCTAATCTGATTGCCACCTTTATTAGAAACTGAAATAGGACATTTAAGCTAGCAAAGTTGTTCAAGAAAGTCCATTACTTTGAGAATTGGCAACCTTGTCTTGCTTGCTTTGATGTAGTTGACCACTCCTGTTCACTTCACTTATTGGCTATATTCTTATAGGTCTAATTTGTCTAAATTCAGCTGATTGACTTGAGCATGGCTGATAGGCATAACTAAACTTTGAATTTGTTGTAGTTTCTAAGAAAGATAAGTTCGCATTTAAACTTGTTTAAGCCACCAAGCGTGCGACTTGGGAGCATATAGGTGGTAGTGGTCCAACATGGTGGGCATCCATGTTTTCTACTGTAGGTGACACTCTCCCTCTCTAGAGACTGCTACCAGCAACGACTTATGGGTCAAGGGCTGATCATTTTCTAAACAGATTAAGGCATATGTGCTTATAAATTTTGTTTAAGCTCTTTGCTCTATTTTTTTTTTTTTTTTTTTTTTTTTGTAAATTTAGTGGCAGTTGCCCTATACTGGGATTTAAGTGTAGATGTCGTAGTGTCACACTATGCTATTAGCACATCTACTGCAAAGTCATTTTTGGCGGAATACTTTTGGGTCATGTGAACTCTATCTGTACACGAGGTCTTTAAAATGACCAAATTCTTGGAGACTATACTTCCTACCTTCTACTCCTATTTAGATCTTAGTGATGGAAAATTTTAGGTTGTGGCCAATGTAATCCTAAGGCTGTGATACTGTAGTCTCTTCAGTCTTCACGTTCTTTATAATAGCACGAACTGTTTTTTACTGTTTGGTTTCCCCTTTGTTGGAGAGAACAGAATTGCTTTTTTTCTTTTTTTATCATCACTTGTATGTGCTATGCAGCAGTCATCACTTAAGAATCGGTTGAATATCTCCTGTCATTTCTTGGATAGTTGATTTAACTTCATTCTTTTATGCTAACAGACACAGTGACACTAGAGTTTAATCAATACGCCCCTGACTCAAGATGGAGGAGAATGAATGTCAATAGGAAGAATCATCGAGAAGAAGGAAACGAGGGTGATGGCTTCTATGGAGGAATCAGAAAAATATACAGTGAAGAAGAGATCACCATTTGGAAAAGCTTATGGCCGACCAAGGTCCTAAACTAGCAGACAGCTTTTTTACTCTTTAATACCAGTTACCTTTAGAAGTGTAAGTACCACATTCTTCAGATGGTAACAATGTCAGATGAAAATGCAAAAGTTGGCCTTTGTTTCTCTATTTGATATGTGCAAAGGCGTTGTACAGATTGATTTATACTGTATTTGTACCATACATCCCAAAAACAAACTTTTGAGTGTGCTGTGTGCATCTAGTTACAATTTGGTGTTGTATTTCCGTTTTGTATAAACTGAAATGATCAAGAATTCTCGTTGATCAGAGGTTCCAAAATTTTCCTGCACGTTATGCTAGTCTGTGCATATGCACGCGCGCACACACGCAAACACAGCACTCTCGTGCTGTTTGGAGCCTAAAACTAAGGCTGAAAGATCATAATATTAGTTAATGGTAAATGATGGAGCATTTTCAACTGAAGTAGACAGAACAATAACATGGTATGATGATAGGCAATTAGGTACTATTACTAGGAAAAACTAGAATTAAAATGAACAGAGTTCTCAAGTAAATTCTGGAAACTGGGAAAATTTGTTGAAGATTCCAAATCTTTGTTGTTTTGTTTTGTGCAAATAAATTGTTGGTTTGTTATTGGGGACCCAAGAAAAGGTCTCTTCATCCACTTTCCATCCAGTTTCCTTACATTTTTGTCAAAATTAATGTGGTTGTATATGTTTTACAATTAATCATTCGTTATTTATCAAACCGCCTTACTACGGAGTATATATGAATTTACCTACACTTGACCAATTTTTTTAGTTACAAGAATAACACAATCTATAATATTATTATGAATAAAGATATATGCAGCCCTTACACCGATTTACTCGTGAATTGCCGAAAAATTCCAAACTTAATACTTAAAAAAGAAGTATATTAAATGCTTATATACAGTCCTTAGGGCTGCCTATAGCATTACCCTATTATTAATTCTTATAGGGAAAACATGTTGACGACATATGTCACTCCATGTCATAATGAGATTTACTACATGACACCACATGGATGATGATATGACACTACGTATAATTATTTAGACCATATTTAATTTAATCCCTCATCATCCTTGGAATTTCTAACTTCTATGACCAATATTATTCTATCAATCAAGTAGACAACCACATTGATTTCCCATAAATAAATTCTTTTTTACTCTATTGTATTTGTTTTCATATTTCACAATTAATGTCTCTCTATCACTTTATTTATAAGTTGTAATTTTTCATTAACTTGGATCCTAAAAGTTTTTAAGCATATTATGCAATGTCCTACTTAATTGTAAAACATATACAACTGCATCTCTCTTTCTATCCTCTTTTTTTTTTTAACTTTTATTTTTTATTATTTAAAGTTAAGATAATGTTTTCAAGATATTATTAAAAGTCAAGGTAGATTTTACATGTTTTATTTAAATAAACCCCGAGGCATCGCTCGGGCCTTAAACTAGTTTTAATAACAAACTCAATTTATCTCTATACTTGACAATGGATGACAATTGACTCACTCAATTAGCATTTTAGAGTTGTATTCAAAGTGTGGATCAAATCACGACCAGGGTGACTATAGCCATTTTTTTTTCTTTGTTAAATGGTCTTATTATGAATGTTAACTATCTTAGCCAGTACCGTTTTTTCATCTCCGAAGTATATCCCTTTGGTTTAGGAGTCTATAGTCTTTAACTCTTTATGTGACTATTGGTGGGTTAATTCCAATTCCTAACATTCACCAATCACCTAACAACTTGTATTGCGTGAGAAGAAAAACCCAGGAAAAGCAACAGTTTTTTCTGGGAAAAATTAAGACCAACAAAACAAACCCAGATTTCCCAGAATCACTGCTCAGACAACCAAGAGGAGAGAGAAAGAGAAGCGCAGAAGAGGGTGCCCTTTGAACTCGAAGATGAACGGCGGTCCATCTGGATTCAGTGAGTTAATTCGTTCTTTCTCTTCAAAAATTGCTTCTTTTTCCGATTTGAGGCATACCCTTTTCATAGATTCAGCAAATTTAGATACCCTTTTCGAAATTCTATGTGATTTTCAAATATTGATCGAATTTTTGGTAATTGCAGATAATGCCCCTGTAACTAGAGGTGTCATTGTTGCTTCCGCCCTTTTCACCGTTTTCTTTGGACTTCAAGGCCGTTCTAATAAGCTTGGATTCTCATATCTGGTAAATCCAACATTTTCTGTGATAATTTGTTCTTAATTTTTGTTGATTTTGTGTAATTTGTACTTTGATGCTAGGTTTTTGTAAATTCATTTCTGCCAATTTGTTGATCTTTTCCTAGTTTTCTACCTGAATTTTGCTTTTTGATGTTTTAATTTTGATTAGTATTTTATCTATGGTAAAGAGTATTTTTTATTTAGTGAATTAGTCATATTTATTGTATTTCATGCTTAATTTTGAGGGACATTCTTTGCTGTATTAAGTAATTATCATCGTTCAAACCAATGTTGCAAAATATATACTGCCTGGTTTTCAGTTTCTGTTATAAAATCGTGTTGATAGATGGCTTGAAATGGGCTTACTTTTACCTAATAATTTAGCTCTTTTAATAGGATATATTCCAGAAGCCTCAGTTATGGAAGATCATTGTCTCAACTTATGCATTTACATCAACACCAGAGATGATGTTTGGACTCTATCTGCTGTACTATTTCCGGGTTTTCGAGAGACAGATAGGATCAAATAAGTACACAGTGAGTATTCATTGATGATTTACTTATGTGACTTTTTCTGTTGTTCATACTATATAGCTTAATTTGGAGTGCAATCTAAATGACATTTATGAAAATGTTACCCATGATAAGACTATATTATTGATCAACCATGATTATTAATATATAGTCTTTTATCTGCCTGATGTTACAATATTGTGTCATTAGCATTAAGACCAATTTTATGTTATTGCTTCTCACCTTCTCTCCATTATAGGTTATGAGAATATTGATAAGAATGTGTTGTTGATGTATCTTTTCTTTTCTTTTTTTTTCCTTTTTTTTTTTTTTTTTTGTCTTTGGAACTTTTGTAAGGCGTTCAGTGGATTACCTCCATCGAAACCCTTCCAATAGAAGATAAGGAAGAAGGCATAAAAGGAAAAATGTTGAGCATTTTTTGTGCAACTTTTTCTAGAATTTTCATTTATTGACTTGTCTAATCTTTTGCAGGTGTTCATTTTATTCTCTTTGATAGTTTCTTTCTTCCTAGGCAGTGCCACACTAGCCCTCCTTAAAGGTATGTGGTGTAAATACTCAAGTCAAGGCTGCCTTTTAAGTTATGATTATCTGTGGTTATAGACTTGTAAAACTCCTGTTAAAAATGAACATGTATGACTCAACAAGATCTCAATTGAGTCTTTTTCTGCTGGAATGACTAGTAAACTGAATTTAGCTGCATTAGATTCACATTTCTAACATTGGTATAACTTTTTACCACAAAACTAAGGATGCCTCTATTGGATCTCTGTGGCAAGCCAAGTAACCCCAATTTCTAAATCTGGGGTTATTTTTGAAAATAATTGCGCTGGAAATAATGTTATTAAGTTTAAAAATTGAGCCGTCAAGTGACTAGGAGGAAGAGACAAAAGTTAGAGCACTTTCAATACTGTGATTGGAGTGATCAGGGTCCTAACATTTTTGTGTTGATGTCGGGTGGTGACAAAAAAGAGAGGAAATAAAGACTTTTGATTTTAAAGATTAATCTTAGTTGGGTAGAGAATATTAGTGAGGCAGGGAGAGCGTGAGACAACTAAGGTGGAGTAAAAAAAAAAAGCTAGGATAGTAGGACAAGAGTCCAAAGGGTATTATTATTTACTCCCTCTAACTATTAGTTTTGGATTTCCATTACTTTATTGGTGTCCTATGATTTTCAATTTATATGCTCTTAAAAAATAAAAAATATAAAAAAAAATTAGAAATAAAAACTTCTCTGTAAATAAACCTTCAGAAGAATTTTGTAGTCATACTCAATTTAATTTAGACACCCGTTACCCATGTATCTTAAGATTGTTAGTTTTACATGACAGGCTCTGATCCATTTTTAAATTAAACCTGTGTTTGAGTTTAGCCTAAATGATGATAAGTGTTATAGTGCCAGTTATTGCTCCTGGCTTCTTGTAGCTTGGCCTGATTTTTGGAGTTAGCTGTTGAATTTTAGGGCTGTGCATGATGGATATAATGTAAGCTAGGTTTCCTAACATTGTTCCTGCATATGAATTCAACTATTTAAGATTTAGCTTGGGGCTGCAGCTTATTTTTACTGTACAGTATATCAAGAAGCATGAGAGGAAAAAGCTGCACCCTGTTTTTCTTGTCCTGTTATGGTGGGCCAATTATGGGTTTAGACCGTTTGTTTTTTATATGGAAGTTCATAGCATTTTTTTTAGCCTTACTAGATAGTGTAGATACTTTCATTTAAATTTCAATAAATTAATAAAGAGTAGTTCAACTGAGTACCAAACTTGTTTTGGATCCAAATATGTGGAAATTCTGTTTCCCATTACTCTAATTCAAAACCAAACCTGTCTGTATCAGGTGGTTTCTGAGTGGTTTCAAGTCTAGAATTCCCTTTCAAGTGACGAAATCTTGGTGGAAATTTCAGGCAAAAGGTACCTTTGTGTTGCCTCATGGGTCCGTGGCCATAGATAACAGACTAACACAATTGATAAAATAATATCTTCTAGGGTTCAAATTTGTAATCAAGAATTCAAGATTGTGAATGACAAACTAAGTTAAATCATCCTTGCCTTCCGACATAAAAGGCAAAATCATCCATGAGAAGTGTATTTCAATTACAAAAAGCTCTGTGGCCCTACAAATCTTGACAGGTACTTTAGGAAATAGGTCAGATACTTTAGGAAATAGGTACCTTGGGTTGCCCACTCTCCTCAGCCATTGATGATGCACTCACACTAGTTACAGGACAAAGATTGCTTCTCCTCATCAAAGGTCATTGTCAATATGTTATTTCCTTTATACCCTTCTAAAACATTAATTGAAAGTCTTAGTAGATAGATATTGGAGTGGATTATGTTTGATTTTCAAGCATCCTTCCAAAATCCAAAAGCTCCTTTTTACTTGGAATTCATGTTAAAGTTTATTGCCTTGATGAATGAAGAATCTAATGAAGAACTGTAGGAGTCCACGGTTCTAGGTACCCTTTGTTCTAAATTGCTCTTTTGTGCAATGAAGATTGATTTAATTGAGTAATATCACTTTGGTGCCCTTGTCTCACTAATTCCATTGTGGTTCCCTAACCTTAAACATTGCTCATTCTAGGGACCTGCCCTTCCATTTAAGTAGTATTCTTCTTTTGTGTATTGATTTCGCACTGGATCAAAGCAAAGTATAATCCTTTTTATATTTTTTATTTATTTTGGTGTGTTTGATGAATTGGTCAAAGATTTTCCTACTTTTTAAGTATTTTAGGAAAAGAATATGGAAGTTTTTTTTTTTGGTTGAATTTTTTAGCAAGTGAGGGTGTCAAATATACCTGTTGGCTTTTCAATTAGCATTTAAATAGAGCTCTTAATGACTTACAGGTTATTTGTGGAAAACTGAAGTTATAAAAAAATGTTAAAACATTAGGGCACTAGAATGGAATTAGTGAAAACATAGGGCACTGCGTGAATTTATCCCAATCCTCAGTACACCAAAGTGAAAACTGTCCTCAAAATTAAATGATAAAGAAAAGCTTGAATGCTTGAGAAATGTATGATAATTATTTTCTTGATAGTTTGTGTCTCGTCGCTCTATTTACTGTTCTGCATGTGGGACCGCACCCCTGCTTCATAAACGCTTTGCTTGATTCATATCTCTTCCAATTAGAACCATAATAGTGGCTTGATTACTGGGTATTCCCTGTTCCTATACTCATTTAAAGAGCCTAGTCCTTTATTGCCTCTCAATCATGTTAAAGGGTAAATATTCTGCTACTTTTCCTTGCTGTGCTTTTACCTTTTATATGGATTTGTGGATTCTGTACCTTCCCATTAGAGGTTCAATTGCATATCTCTGCAATTGAAAGGGTAGATTGTGTACTGATCTGCTATCTTCAATTAGATTTTAGAAGCAATATGGTGCATTAGGAATGGCACGGGGAATGTGAAGTCTTTATTTGGATTTTGAACACCAAATTGTAGGTCACAACAGATTTAGACCTTATCTAAACATATGGCAGAAAGCTATGCAAATTCACTCTTTTATTTTTTGGAAAGACTGCCTGGGGATTTGGAGCAATTTCTATTGCACTGCACAATTTTGCTTGTGGACGTCAACAAGCTTAGTTTGTTAGTTAATGTCTTGGGAGGTAATACACTATGGACAGGGATCAATGCCTGTCTACAACATTGCCTTTTATGGCTTCCTATACGCACAAAATAAAATAAAAATGGAACATTTTATTACATTCTGGGTTGTTAGAAAGGTCTGTTTGCAGTTTTCCATGTTATGTTTTTGAAAACTATTGTTATGTCATTTTGCACTTCTGCATGAATAAAAAAATTTCTTGAGCAGTGCTGTGATTTCTGATGGTGGTCATGTACTGTGTTGCTGCAGATCCAAGCTCCTTAATCACGGCTGGACCTTATGGCCTGATCTTTTCTTCATTTGTACCATTCTTCTTTGATATTCCCGTGTCAACACGATTCCGGTTGTTTGGTTTTAACTTCTCTGACAAATCTTTCATATATCTGGCTGGTCTTCAGGTAATGCATTATTTGGTTTTCTTCAACCCTCATACTTTGTATGATATGTGGCCCCTTTGCTGGTGTCATTATTCCATCTGCACCTTTGACTTCATTGATTTCCCATGTCTCCCATATCTTTTTCTATCCTTGTCCTTACTTTGGTGTTTATTTTGCAGTTGCTTCTATCATCTTGGAAAAGATCGATTTTGCCAGGAATATGCGGCATCATTGCTGGTTCCTTATACAGAATGAACATTTTTTACATCCGCAGAGCAAAGGTTATAATTTTATAATTACACCCACCTCCCTTCCTTCCAGGGGAAGTGGGTCAGAGACTCTTGCTGTGGTTCTTTTTTTTTTTTTTCCTTTACTCCTCTTGTCTGCTCATAAGAATAGTCCTCATGAACCTAGGATATGAGCTAGGTTCTGATCTACATAAACCTCTTTACACAACTGACCAATATCTCTCTCTCTCTCTCTATCTCCCTCTTTCTCTCTTCCAAATATAAACATTCTCATGTTGGCTAACTTTATCAACTTGGTTTTCATGTTTGCAGTTGCCTGATTTCATTGCGTCTCTATTTTCGCGGGTATCTTGGCCATCTACGGGAAGCCCATCAGCTGCAACTGGGATTAGGAGTGTACCAGCTACTGCACCTTCTTATGCGGGGCGTCAAGTTGAGGCAAGTACATCTGCTTCATGATTTTATCTATTTTGTCCCTCTTCCCCCTGATAAAAAAAGGAACAAAAAACCCTTGAGCTATGATGCACGTAAACATTCTTCCTGAGTTCCCCCTGAACCTCCCTGTATGTGAAACGCAAAATATTTCTGAACGCCGGAATAAGACAAGACATGTCCCAAACATGAGAGGCATCTTTCAAACTGGAACGTGACTCATGCATTAAGCATGGTATATCACGTATATGTATTGACTATTACCCTTGCATATTAAATATGTTGCACCATCCATCCTTTCACTCTGTTAAAAGTACATTATAAAATTTTTGCAATGCAAATGGTATATTGCTCCCAATCAATCAAATTATTAAATGATTTATGTTTCTTTGAAATTGCAATTGCACATCTTCACTAAATCACTAGAGGTTCTGGATAAGGCATGGACTTTTAAAGCTTAAAGCACATAATTATGTAAAAAAATTCCTCGTATATAATTTATTACCTTAATAAAAGACCACTAATGTACACTGATTCCTTTCTAAGCTTCTCAATAGTAATCTATTGAATTATTTGAAGGTGAAAAGTTCATTGGTTGTAATTCGGAGAAGAGGCCTTTTTTTTTATATATGTTTTGAGGGAAGAAAGTGAGTTGAAGCTGGGAAGGTATCGTCAAAACTAGGAAGGGGGGGGGGGTTAGCAAAGCAGGGTGAGGAATTGAGCACATGGTTGTTGAGGTGAACAGAACAAAGAGTATTCAAAGGGTTTTGAGTTTGTGACACGTGATGGATGAAAGAAGATCAGCTCAGCCTTCTTTCAGATAGTGTTGCTTTACACTTACTTTTGATGGAGTGGATTTATGTGTAGTTGGCAGGTTTGGGTTATTAGTTTCCAACATTTCATCATGTATATCTTGAGACAAGTAGTCAAGTATCACAGTAGATTTGTGACCTGGTGTTGTAAATATTAACTACTAGGCCAGTCCAGCATTTTTCTGTTCAGTATACATGGTGGATATTATGGATGTGGAGTGTTAGTGGGTGGCCTTGGCTTGATATTATTCGAGGGTCAAAATTGGTGTCACTAAATTGCTCATATTGCCTACAAATTATGTTCTAGAATGTGAAAATTGTTGCATAGTTTAGCTGTGCAGTTCAGTAGTGTAACGAAATCAAGGAGCAAATTACACTCCCTTTCCACGTACTAGAACATCTGTTTTCTAGGTAACACTGGTCAAATATATTAGAAAAAAAAAAAAAAAAAAAAAAAAAAGCACGTATCCAGTTGCACATTGTAATAATATAAGCACTGGCCAGCGTGCTAAGCTTCTAGCTTTATTACACATCACAACTGCCTCTCATTTAGGAGGAAATTGTAGTCAAGTAACCTACATTTGCCATCTGCATTAATGCATTGCGGCATGCCCTTGTTGGATTTCATTAACTTTTTTTTTTTTTTTAATTGTAGAGAAACTACCCTACTCCAGTTGTCGGCTCTGTGGAACCATCAGATGACTCCGTTGCAATGCTAGTATCCATGGGTTTTGACCAAGATTCCGCTAGGCAAGCACTTGTGCAAGCTAGAAATGACGTCAATGTTGCCACAAATATCCTTCTTGAAGCACAATCCCATTGAAGAAGACAAGTGCAGTTGCTATGGTAAATTGGCTCTTGTTCGTTTTGTATCATCCAAATAGGGTTGTGAACAAGATAATTGATTTCCATAACTATCAGGAATGATAAGAAAACAAGGCTCGGTCGTTTTCCATGATTAAGGGGTTCCTTGTAGCAAACCTAGAACTCATTGGCATATAATTCTTCCTTGATTCCCTTTATTCCTTAAGAATGGGGGACTCACATTTAGTAACAAAGCATATAAGCTGACAAACTTTTTGACTTTAGAAGCCTTGTGCATTTTATTTGCAGCTTGTTAGGAGTTACTCTGATGTAAATTGTTTGTTTCAGGAATGTAGCAGTGTAATTTATACTTAGTATATTTTATGCAATTTTCTTATACTGTCCTTACATTTATTATAATAAAGGAAATTTCATTGGCTATTGTTACTAAGAATTGCTTTGATTTAGGGAGGTTTTTTGGAAGCAATTAACCAAACTACTTCTGGGAAGTTATTGTATTTTTTAACTCACATTTTTTGGCATCAACCCAATAGATTCAAGTTTCTTTAGAGGCATTGGGGCAACGTCGATGTTTGATTGAGCTGTTGTAATTTCTTCTGTCATTCCAACATCGATGTTTGATTGATCCGCTGTAATTTCTTCTGTCATTCCAAATCAGATGCGAGGTGCTGTTATTCCAAATTAGATGTGAGTAAACGCCAATCTTTAAGGTTGTGTTTTGGTACATCTTTAGACAAGCTTAAAAGCAGAGAAGTCCACTGTGGTAGGGGATGCATCAAGTTGGTAATCTCTTCTATTGCAAAATTTCCAACACATTTAACTAATACAGAGTACATACAGTTTTTGTGTTAAGGCCAAACTTTTCATCATTATCAATTAATACTTGTATATCTGTTTTCAAAAACAATTCAATACTAGAGTTCTCTGAGAAACTGGTACACATATTTCATGTAGACTAGAATAACAGAAGGAAAAAAGAAAAAAAAGATGAGGTATACAAAATCAAACTTAAGTAGCGTATTCTGTGTTGCAAGGAAGCACTTCTTTATTGGGTCCAAACCAAAGAACAAGTTTCTTGATGATCATTTGAAACCCCAGAGCCTCTTGCAATAAAGATAGACTGATTCAAAGGCCTGGGTAACTATATGGTGCTGAGATCTATTCGACTCTTGTGAAGTTGAAATGCAGGGGTGATCCAACTCCCACAATTGCATTGAATACCTGACCAGTTGAAATAGCCTAAGCGAGCATCACAGTGGACACATAACAGCTTCCCCTCAATCGCCCCTTCTTCAACTGTATGACATTGATAGTATTGTTAATGAGACAAACCTTAAAAGCAAATGCAGCATCATGTGGACTTTTTAAACAGAAGTATGATCTCCAGAGCATGAGTGGACAAGAAAAGTTGAGAAGCGAGGGGTTGGGGGTTGCAATCTTAAGCCAGCTTTCCACTCCCTCAGTTTAATTTAGTTGTTCTGGCATATCATAATGTAAAAAATTTTAAACATGACACAACTTACAAGATACAAGTTATAATAGTTGTAACTAATAAAGTCTCCAATTCTCCATCACTCCAATCCATTTTGCGTAAAAAAAAAAAAAAAAGAAAAAGAAAAAGAAAAAAATTCCAATCAAATCAAGAAAAATCACAGTTTTTTAGGGTAATCCTAAAAACATACTTCTTCTGTTTTCCGAAGTTTTATTCACTTTTGCCTTATACCTTATTTGGTCATTAGTTTACCTTCCAACACCCCACATGAAATCAATTTTACCATTTCCTCCCCAATACCCCAAAAATACACAGGGTAAGGTAACTGAGTAGGACGTGAAAACCAGAGAGTATATACGACTATATGCTAGACAGGCAGACAGTGAGAATATACTTTTATTGTAGCACCACAGTAAAAGTAACTAAACAAAACCTAGAGTCAGATCAGCGTCAGTAAACCAAAGTTATTAGTCAAGGTGGCAAATAACACCCCCATCAGCCTTTTTTTTTTTTTTTGTTTGGAGGGGGGGGGGGGGTTGTTACGAAGCGAGAAATTTGCATTGCAGGAATATACTATACTTAATCGTTCTGTAGCATCATGCTGAAAAAGTGAACCATGGGGTGTCAGTCGTTCTCTGCCTACGATGAACTTTCTTATGCATTATTTAAGTAAAAAAGAAGAAGGAAATTTCATATTTGATCTATTTCTCAATAGGAGCCCTTTGCTGCAATGTCATTTGCTTGAACTGCCTTTTCATCTCTAAAAGAAAAAGGGAATAGGGACTTGGATAGAAAGAAATTTTGAAATTACCTGCTTTCATCCACTTTAATGGCTCAACAAAAATGGAGGAGCATCCAAAATCATCAGATTTGTCATATGGGTTTCCACTTCTCCTTTTGTGCCACTGAAAGGCTGACATGCCTTCACCTGGAACGTGATCCACAATATTCTCTTGCAAAGCAACAACTCTCCGGCACTTCTTACAACGATATGCAACATTAGAATTTTTATCACCATCTGGCAATCCATCTGGCCTAGGAGACTCAACTCCTTGTGGCAAGCCAGGATCTGCTCCAAACTTAGAGCCGTCTATTTTATGCCCACGATTATATGAATCACCTGAAATCAAGAGACTGGTGACTCAGCTTTGAAGCCTAAAATGAGGTTTCACTTTCAAGACTAGGAAAAAGTTATACCCTAAAAGGCCTCATAATATACCACGTCAAACATAGCAAGATTTATCTTACTGCTAATGCCCTTCAGCTGTTTTTTGTAAGGGACTCCAGGCCAGAAGTTTAGCACAAATATGAAACATGGCTATTTAGAGTAATTAAGCTTGCTGGATAGCTATTTCGACCTAAGAGATGTTGACTTGCCAAAAACATTTTCATTGTTTAGACACCTTTATGGACAAGGGTGTTTACGACTGTCTGCATCCACATACCAACCAAATGCAGTTAAAAAAAAAAATAAAAAATAAAAAATAAAAAAAAAATCTATGATTTTCACAGACAATTCTCTAACCTATGTTGCCTCTATAGATGTTCTAATGGAATCTATTCTGAATGTTGTATGGGTAGATCTGTTTGTATTGCTTCAAAACTTTATGGCTTCAAAAGGCATCTCTACAGGTCCCTCGTGCAATGAGCAAATAACAGACGCAAGAAACAGATCAATGAAGGTCAAAACTAGAAGAATAATTGATTCTTGAAGAAAGTGACTCTTACACAAGTTCTTTCCACCTCTTGATTGTTTAGCAGTAAAAGTCTCAACAGGAGTGAATATAACCTCTCTATTTCAATGAAAAGCCAGAATTTGGAAGATGAAGCCCAACATGGATACATAAACTGGATCTAGCCACATGCAAGATATGTTAAGGAACTCCATCAAATCCTCCCAAGCAGCAGCAAAATCCCAAGTTATACACACACCACAACGGATAACAATTTAGAACCAACGTGCTATTATTTAGATCATCAAGCCGTACATGGTAAAAAGCTTCAATAAAAAAAGATAGATAGATCTAGCTTAGGCAAAATGGACATCAATAATCAATTCAATAATACCAAATTATCAATCAGAAATGGAGAATGTAAATATGAAAAGGCTAAACGGAAAGGCATACCCAATATTTTCAAACGAAATCGCTTATATTGGGTGTTACCGCGATCAACTTTAAAACCCATCTCCTCAAACATTTTCAACTGCAGATGAGCAGAAGAAATTTAGTTATGTTTATGAAAGGCACTTGAGGTTTGAGAGCATTAACACTACATAAAATACACAATGCATTAAGCATCAATTTTGAAAGCACTTCTAACCTGTTCTAGAAAATTATCATTGGGTGAAACAAACTCACAACTTTGACGTAAGGATTCAAGCTCAGCTGCATAACGTGCCGCAGCATGACCAATGAAGGTAGGAGAAAATCATTAAACAAGTGAGAACATAATTCACAGATAAGCGCAATAGAAGCTTCGAATAGCATTAAACTCTCAGACCTTCCTGAGATAGTTGCTCTGATCTCATCAAATACGCTGTGACAATAGCTGCACTGCAATGAACATATGCAAAGAAGAGTGTTAAGTTTGTAAACCCACTAGGACTTGATAAAGCAGAAAACTGGAAAAGCAATTGCAATGTACATTTCTGAAATTTTGGGAAAACTTTTAACACATTGTAAATAAAGCTGAACAGATTATTTGAAATTAAAAATTAAAATTAAAAAATTAAAAACAAAAAGGTAACGGGTTATACAAATAACCTATTTTAAGTCTACCATAAGTCCACAACTACCAAAAACACTCTTCTCCAAACCAAAGATATCATAAAATAAAGGCAAATTAAGTGGAATACATAAAATGAACACCCAGCATCATTCTTCTCAAGGTATCATCAGTGTAATTCTATTATTCTTATACTTCCTCTATTTCTTTTTAGTTGACATGTTTCTTTAGTCAAAAATTCAACCATTGATACCTTTAAATACCAATAGGCAAAAAATATAAAAAGTTGATATTTTGAAAATATGTATCGTGACGAATCTAACAAGATTTCACATGACTATTTTTCTTACGTATAAATCACAAAACAAGGTCAAAGGGAAGTGTGTGAATAGTGCTAAAATCAAAACGTGTCAATTAAAAAAAACAGAGATAGTACAAGACAATGACAAAAAGCAAAAAAAAAAAAAGCTTTTGGATAGAATTTGTTATTGATGACTAAATCTACGGTAAAAAATCAGTATCATTCTGCTAGTGTATTTCTCATAAATTAAGACAGTGACAAAAGAACATAGAAGAGAAAATTGCATAAAATTCCCACTTTGCTTTAAGTTAATCTAATTTCCTAGATTAAAGGTCTAAGACAATATGTTTCAAAACCACAGAATTTATTTTTTTCACCACAAACATGGGAAGACTGCTTTGCCTGGTTACTCAATAAGTCACCATCTTCACATGGACCACATCTATCACTCTGTGACAAATTAAGTCTTTCCAGTTTTTCAGCCTTAACTTTCTAGCATTTTTAAGAATGTACATCAATTAAAAAACAACAGACTCTACAATCTATATCATCTGGCCGTCAGGTTTCAACCTTATGCATGACTTTCACTTCCTACAGATTCAAAGTTCTAATGTTCTGTAAGTATTGCTTTGCATCCCAAATTTCGGATCTAATCTAAGAGGAGACAAATTCTCTCAAAGCTAAATCAAAATCTACCAGAACAAGCCCACACACACACACACACACACACACACACACAAGAATGATGGTTCATATCAACTTAGGCTAACATAATTCCAAGTCTACATTCTAATAAACCACAAGCAACAATCATGACTGGATTACAAGTTACAACACTTAAAGCAGCATGTGAGTCATCTCACATAGTAGTATATGGTATTCACTATTAAGTGCTTCTGTTCTTTA